TCCATTTAAATTGCTAATATTAATTTTTTATCTATTACATTAGGTCCAGCGAAGAATGAAATATTCATTCAAGCAAAAAATAAAGACTACGAACCACATAAACCAGCTAGTCACAAAATTAGCTTGGAACCAAAGTGCAGTAAATCTCCAAATCAATATGACCCGTCTTATATGAAATCGTCGTTTCAACAATACCGCAAGGTGCGATTTCCTTTAGAATATAGTTTTCTCGATATGTTATTATAGATTATCTTGCCTCAAATTATATATTTCAACTGATATTACAACAGATACCATATTTACATACACCTGAGGGCATTAAAGATTCGATAGTGCAGCCGCAAGTATTAAATTCTGATCCTCAAAGTTTTTTCGAAACTTCTTTGTGGAGAAAGGAAAAATTGATTTGCTTGTCTAAAATGAGGAAAACATATGCCGATGAATCTGTAAGAACTTACCTCCATCATAATAAATTGAAAAAGAAGTTTTACACAAATCTTTTGAAAATTTTTAATAATTATCAACTATTAATAATTATAAATTTTGCAATTGCAGAGTTATTTTCCGCAGCAAACAAATGATAACGATACTATTTCCACTGAGACTGTGAACAAAAATGAAATAGTAGAATCGGCTTCTACTAATAGTGACAGTACTTACGTTATTAACAGAAAATTGGAAGGTAATAAATTAAGACACTAAAAATAACATACTACTCTAACCGTTTTATTTCAGGATAAAATGAAATTATTATCGTTTAGTAATTTTAGCAGTTATAATTAACTTATAATATTTAGAAATATATAATATCTTCTTATATTTAAAATGGTAATTAATTTTAATAATAGAACGACTAGCTGCCGAAACAGAGACCAGTCAAGAAAACTTTACGCAAATACTCGAAAGTGCAAGCGATTCAATAGATACCACTACTCATAATAAACCTTTACAAGTTTTAAAAGATGCTTTGGATCGCGCTACGAAAATTGTGCGTTCCATTACACCAAACACTGAAGAATCGTGCCCATCTCCACCATTTAAATCCTATCAAGATTTTGAAGTAACGGTGGACGACAACCAAAATAGAAAATCCATTTTCGAGAACCTGTACGATTGTCAAGTCAACAACGATAGTGAAGAAATTAAGACTATCGAACGGTCGACAACGAGTGGCCAAACTTTTTTGTTGGATAAGAACAATATAAACAGTACAATAACCAGCAACGAAATGCAAAAAGAATCTGAAAACAATATCACCATAAACATTACCAACTTTGACAAAACCAGTCATTCATATGACACAACATATAGCAGAAATTTTATTTGCGAATCAATTGCCGAAGTGTCAAGCGAATTTAATACTTCGCACAATGATACAATCTCGGATAATAGAGCTGTATCTTTCAGCACTCAGACAATCAGTATTAAAGAGGATGATAATGTTTCAGAAACTGTACAACATGCTAAAACAGTAGTTAAGCAGAGTGACGGAGCAGAAGCTCAAGTAGAAATCAAGGAAGACGAAAACAAGTCTGATATAACGAACTTTAGTTTAATGTTTCTGAATGATGCCACGAAGAATAAAAATTGCAAAACGTGTCATCAAAGCGCTTTACCAAGGAGGCGTTCTTTACCAGCAGCATTAAGCCAATTAAGAGCAGTTAACAACTCGGCTTTAGGGAAATTACCTATACGTAGAGGGGTAAATATTTTATTAAGCAAATATTACGTTTATGTACTGCACCTGTTTTAAGTATGTAATATTAATTCTGTTTCATAATATTAAATATACAAATTTTAATAATAAAATAATTAGATAAAAAAATTTTAATGAATTAATAGAATTGCACATTTTATGCTGTTATTTCATTATAATTTTGTATACCATCATATCAAATATGTTGGTAAGTTTTGTATAATAAAAAAGAAACTTGTTACAGGGTGTTCCCGATAGCACCGTCGAAGATTTATACATAGATGACGAATTTGGTGACAATTTAAATGTTAATATGGTTTTGTTAGATGAAGACTTATCGGTTGACGAAGATTTCTTACCAGAGATGTCAGAACTTTAGATTACGATAGAACAACAATTACCGTTGATGTTACTCAAATATTCCTAATAATTTATTGCACTTTATTTTTTAAAAATACAATTAATATTACATAATTATCAAATTCCAAATCGATTGGAATAATCAGTATCAATAAATAAACACGTGCTTTATGTTCATGTTTAAAAAATATCCATATATTTTGCGATTTGATATAAGTCAATTAAAATATGACTGTGTATTTTTGTTATGTAAAATATATGATCAATTACTGTAGAGTATTATACAAATTAAAATACAGTAATATTTCTTGTGTAAGATATAAATGCAAATAATAAATAACACCATTTATATAAAACTTATAAAATAAAAAAATAAACATTTTTAATATCAATTTCTAGTTATAATAAATACGTATACAAAATAAAACGTTTCAATTAGTAAATACAATAATTAGTGTCTCAAATGTAATGTATTTGCAATATAAAAAATACATGATATTGGCAAAGGAAAAAGCTATTGGGCAAAATAGATTTTATATTTCCTGCACCACAATTACTATAATTTTTGAAATTTGTCCAAGAAAATTTCATTTTTTGTTGATTCCTTTAATACTTGCCAGATGCTTTTGAGATACTAAATTAATTAAATTGCTAAGCCAAATACAGAAACAATACAATACATTGTTTTGTTCTCCCAACGCACAGTACAACTGCCATCAGTAGCATTATCCCAATAACATGAGCTCGCAGTGTGAAGTCCTGCTCCATTTTTTTGCATAATAGTACAAGTAACTAAAACAACAGTTTTAAGCAATTTGTTACTATAATAAAAAATAAATTATACATGTAAGAAATAATTAAATTTTTAAAAAATATGAACAAACATACCTATATATTTATATGGTTTTTGTAATTTTGTAAGATTTCCCAAACATCCTTCAACAACATTCGATGTCCATTGATTTACTTTGTTGTGCTGATAAGCATTTCCACCAATAGATACTTCAATTGCTTCTTTAATAATTTTACTTACATCATCAACCACAAATTGGGTCTAAAACAATGAAATATTAAATAAATCATAAGATATTAGCTTCTTAAATTGACTTTGAATTATGAAATGTAATGTCAACACCAAAGCAATAACTCTTATATTAAAATAGAAAAGTGCAACAGAAGAAAAATAAACAGAAAAGGTGAAAAATATGAAATTATGTCATTTATTCGTATATTTTGACAGTTTAGAAGTAGAAACAAATATTTTGTTCAAAATAGAAGGAAATACTAACCTCTTCTTGCATATCTTCCATCATCTTGTCACACCTTTAATAAATTGTACGTCAGTAAATAATCTTTATACGAATCCAAAAGTAATTAATCCCTTTAATTAAAAACAATTAATAAACTAGTATCATTAGTGCAGCATATTAAATAATTTTTAACAATAGTACACTATCACAAACAGAAAATTATATGCTTTATGAATGCATATTCTATTAATCTTTATTCTTTTGATACCTTACGTATTTTTGCACATAAAGACACAGAAATAAATAAATTACACAATGTGTTGCATTTCTAAGAAACCCTAACGAAAGCTTCAGCAACGCGCTGACCGCAGAATGTAAATTGATTGCTTCGACTACTGAACATTGCTACCAACAATAATAATTGACACTCATTCAAATACTTTACGAAACTCTTAATATTGGTATATTTTCTTTATTAAAAATTGTTCAATGTGAAATGTATTTTATCAAACTTGATGTGCTATGCTTTATATGCTAATTTATTCTACTATTTGTTAACCATAACATTAATTGACAATTTAACGAATTGTTTAATATGTGAAAGTAATATGGATTAAAACAATTACATTTCGTAAACTATTCCGAACATTGTATTTCTTTTGTATTAAAATACTTCAATGAAACATTCATTGTAGATTTACATTAAATTAATAATATAGAATATCAGTAATTTATTATTATAGCAAGTATAATGTTACCATAGTCATTAATTAATTTATAATTTTATAATTCCTTAAATTTGT